CCTCCGTTTCCCCTGTCGTCACCGCCGCCAGCACGTCATTGTCGCCAGGTTCTCCCCAACAGTACTGTCTCGTCCGTGCGGCTTATTCCACCCCGCCTTTTGCTCGCCCTGCACTGCCTTGTATCTTCTCCCTTAGTCCTTTACGCTGGAGGACTGGAATGTGATATGCCACCCCTTCCTCGTTGGGAGATGGATTGGAGGGTTTTTTAACCAATTGGAAGCACATTTTTCATGTACAAGCGCATTCTCAACACTTCTTGTGGCCTTTGCAAAATAGACATACAAATCATGGTAACTATCATGGCATTTTTTTGTTGGTGCTCCTTTAGACATGGTGTAAATACACTCTATTTGCTAAGGAAATTATTCCTCATTTATATTCGCGCCCCCCCCTCCCCCCCCGTCTTCTTCCCAGAAAACGGGCCACGCCACACTTCGCTGCAGTGCAATATGAAGTCGAAGGTCAGGGATTGGTTACTGATATGTTTTGCCGTCTCTATTGCCCTTGCTAAGCATATTGAGTTCGGTTGGACCACCCGTATACGGCCCCAGGCCCCCAACCAAGTTGAGAGTTCGGTTGATTCTCCGCTAGAATTCGGAGGCCCGGGACAGGGTATCTTACGCGCCATTAAAAAAAAATAATGTCGTATGGTGGCATAGGTAGTCGTAGCCCTGACGCAGAAAGAAACTCCTCCGCTCGCTAAACGAGCCCTGTCCCACTTCCCCTAGCTTTTCATAGAGACCTCATTTGAATTCTCCACATATACTGATGATTTAATCAGCTTAATCTGCTTCTTTTTCTTGCATCTGCCAATGCCAAAAAGACTCTTTTTTTTTTTTTAAGGGCAGATACCACTAACACCTAGGGAGAGGCTCCATCTATTGGTGGGGAGCATCACCTGCTGGAAAACGGGTCCAGCGTCCCATATTACAAAAATTAATGTCTGAGAATGTCTGAGAATGTCTGAGGAATGTCTGAGGATGTCTGAGCATGTCTGAGAAAGGCAAGGAAGGTCAGGGCTGAGACTGTGGGGCCTGCCAGCATTGATTGCCCTACAAACCAGGCGATTGACTGAGCAGGCCTGTGAAGTGTTCAGTGGTGTAGTCCTTTATGAACATGGAGTATTGTGTATCTCTTCACCCTCGGAGAAGGGCGACTCTGCCATAAACTTGCGCATAAGAATTCTCATAACTTAAATCTTCAACTGCAAGTGATTGGAGAATCGTGTATAAATGAAATGATTACTACATGCTGTGCACCAAATTGCAAACAATCCGTGCAAGCGGGTCTTACTTTATGTCAACAAATGGAACAAAAGTTCAATACACTCTTCAAGGTGACTTTTCAAGTCAATTCTCCCATTCATTAACGGGCCTCATTGGGGGCTTCCTTTAAATTCGCAGAACTGCATGTAACGAATTGCGCTTTTCAGAACTGCAAACACCTAGGCTACCAGAGAGGCCCAGGACCGGCGGGACCAAAAATATATATATATATATATTTTTTAATTTCTTTTTTAATTTAAGACTGGGTAGAGATTTTGGATATGAACCCGAGGCAAAAGTTGTTCAGTTTGTTTTTCTGCATAATATAGTTTTTTTTTTTAGGCTGTTTTTTCTGGGCGCCCAGGCACCCATCTTATGCCCGGATACACGCCCGGGTGCCCGGCCGGGACCCCCGGGCAGGGTCCCGGGCAACCCGAGCACAAAAAAAAAAAAAAAAAAAATTCCAGAAAAAAAAAATGTGTAGAATTGCAACACAAACGACTTTTGGCTGAGGGGTTACATCAGAATTCCTCACAGAATCGGAGATAAAAAAGAATATCACAGAATCACACTAAGGCACCCCCCTTCAAACCCCTTTAGCCCCTTTAAAAACAATTTATACCCCCCTTACCACCCTTGACAGCCACCAAAAAGAAATGAGCCCGGTTTGGGGGTCCTCTGGGGAAGTGCGGAAGAGCAACAATTGTTTTTTTTTTTTTTTTTTCCCACCCCGGGTGCCTAGCCGGGCATAATAATCTTCCTGGTTTTTTTTTTTTTTTTTTTTTTTTCCGGACCTTGACTGGTCCTCGCACGGCCAGGCCGCCCAGGGAAACAAGGTGACCCAGGCGGCCCATCTGGTAGCCTAGGCGAAAACATCACAAATTTTCTGCAAGCAATCTCTTCTGAAAGAATTCATAGAATAAAATTCATAGAATAGAATAAAATTCATAGAATAGAATAAAATTCATAGAATAAAATTCATAGAATAGAATAAAATTCATAGAATAACCTTGTGAGACCACTGTCCGGCTGTGGTAATGTCACCTTTGAACAGGAATATATGGCAAGATAATTCAAAAAAGAAACATTTTTTTCAGTTCTTCTGTTCCGAGCCAGAGAGTCGGTTATAGGTATAAAAGTTACAATATAAAACGCAAAAAAATTGAAACCAAACGTCGAGAGTAGTTAAAAAAAACTGCTGGGCGTTTTAGGGTATTTCTACTGGTTTGCAAAAACAAAGCATCCCGGTAGGCGCTGCTGTTTTTGGGGTAATGGCAAGCGAGGGGCTTTTCCGGTGGTGTGAGCCACTCCTGATCGCGAGGAGGCCGGCGGATTTTGCAGGTGTGCCTGTAGCCGGAGGTCTGACGATACAGAGCCCCCTGCCGTGCGGGTGGCAGGGTAGTTTTGAAGGGTTTGGCTACGATGATTGGGAATTTGGGAATTTGGGACCATGGTTTGCTCCTTTCTACTCTTGAGGATTTTGGTTTGGCGACCTGGGCCTGAGCCCGGCCGGAGTTGCCATGCCGGGGGCTCATCTCAAAAAGTCGCCTCTATTTTGTAAGGGGCTGGCGGTCCCGTTTCCAAGTTATGTAACAAGAATAAGCAGAGGGGGGGGGGGGAGAAGAAAAAGAAAAGAAAAAAAAGGCTGCTATTCAAAGTTCACACTGAGAAAAAGAGAAAAGAATAACGATTTTTGATACAGTTTTTTTTTAATTGAAATACGTTTTCGAAAACTTTTGATTCTATTTAAGCATATCATCACGATTGAAGACTGGTACTTGTGCTCATATAATTGATGAAACAAACACCTGGAGCCTTGAAATATTGGCAAAAAACATGTTTATGCTTTTTTATGTTTTTCTGCGCTGTCCGAGGGATAAGGCCCCGATGAGCCCCTTTGACCCTGCAAGCAGCACTGTTGGCCGCCTTAAGTGAAGGCAGGCCCGACCAAGACCACAAGGCCTATTTTCAGGCTACCACGCAACTGGGGAAAATTCAGGCAGTTGCGCAGCGCCAGTTGGTTGAGAGCGCCCAGGCCCTGACTGCCTTTTTCGTTCGTAACTGAGGCCCAGGGCCAGATACAGAACATGGGCCGAACCCTGGCTGCCGGCAGTTGGGCACAAGCAACCGTCACAGGCCCTGGGCCTGATTCGTTAGGACTGGGGCTCAGCCTCTCGGGGCCTATCGGAAGCTTCCGGGCCGAGGCCCAGCACAGCCTGGCCGCACGCAGCTGGCAGGGCACTTCCATATAGGAAAGGGCCTGCCCCCGCATTCGGCATTGGGGCACCGGCTGCATGCTGCGCAGGCGCTGCTGCGCTAAACGCTGGCCAGGCCCACGCGCTCACGGGCGAGCAGGGAGAGCAGGCAGCCAAGCCGAGCTGCGCTGAGCTGGATGGGGCGCATGGTAGTCCTTCGGTGCACGTGGCATTTGTGAGTGGGGGATCGAGGTTGTGAGTGATACGAGAGACATACCTGGTGCTTGACGCAAACGGCATTGGCCGAGATCTGCTAGTACTTCGGGGAGGGGCTGTTGACGTCACCAGCGGCATTGTAGATAGGCTAGATAGGATCTGTCATTTGTAGTCTGCGCGCAGAGCGCCAGATAGGATGTCGACATTGGTTCTTTGTTGATGACAATGAGATTATTCCAACATTGTCATTTATGAGCTTTTGCTGTGCTCTTATTTGGTGGAACTCGTGTTGCAATTCGCTTTTGGTTCGAGGTCACGACTATCTGGTCTCATGTGTATGATGCTGCTTGGTTTCTGAAGTTCCCTATCGCTCATTTTCCTTGCATCTGTTCCGTTATGTGCCAGGAAAAGCCAGTTTTTTTTGCTGACATTTACATAACATGTTTATGTTTTTTCTGCGCTGCATCTGTTCCTTCGTGTGTCTGGAAAAAACGGTTTTTGCTGACATTTTTGTGACAGTGGCCACTTCATGTCTTGTGCGAATGCCTTCAAAACTAGTTTTTTTCAACCAAAAAAAAAAAAAAAAAAACATCAGGTAAATGTTTTGAAGCAGATCCAGTTTTCACAACTTTTCTACTTTTCACGAACTGCACGGTAACTCCGCAAACACGGCCGCGGCAATGTGCAGAAGAATTGCGCCAGAGCCCTTTCACAGGTGTTAAAATTTCAAAAACGACGGCAAAACGCAAAAAACGTGTTTGTTAAACTTTGTTTAGGAAAACCCCATCACGTAGTAGTCTCAAGTCGATCTCTGGCGGTGGTCCCACTAGCGAAGGGGATAGGATAGAAATCCTGAATCTGGCTATGTTTTATGCAGAGATACAGAAAAGCAGTTCTATCTCGATTTCCTGCTCCTGTGCTCAAACACGTCCAGATTCAGGCATTCAATCCGATGCTCTTTGCTAATGGGACCACAGCCCCTGTAACTACGTCTGCCACCGCTGCTGTTGTTTTCTTTTTCTCTTTTTTTTTTTTTTTGGGTGCTGTTGTTTTCCTCCCTCCCTTTGCGCTTTCAATAGATTGCTGCTGCAGGCGGCAGTGGCACTGCTGCTACTTTGTCTTTCTTTCAAAAAAGAAACCAGGACCTGCCATCTTATCCATTCTGGGCACCAGGGCTTCTGCACATTCTCGCCGTTTGCTGGGTTCAGCCCGCGCGCAGTTCCTTCTCCAACGGCAAGTCAAATACTTGCATCGAAATTCTCCAGTTCGGTGTTCAAAGTTCTCATTTAAATTAATATAATTTGGTAAATTGGTACAAACACCGAGATCTGCAACGGAACCTACAAGTTATAACACACTGGGTTTGTTTGTTTTTTTTCCAAATGGGAATATAATACACATTTACGCTTCTCCCATTGCAACTAACAAAAAAAAAAAGAAAAAAAAAAAAAGAAGTGGCTGATGCTGTGGCTGCTGCTGTAGCTGCAAAACTGTACCACTAAGGGGTCTGGATTCGGGGAGCATACCCAGACTAGAACATTTTTCGAGTGAGATCTGGACGTGATTGCAGTCAGATGCATCCAGCGTTGGCCATAATTGCAGTATGAGAAGCAAAAACGAAATGAATCAAGTGGACAATGGACGGCAAACCAAGGTACCCAAAAAAAAAAAAAAAAAAAAAAAAAAAGTTAAAAAAAATGAAGTATGCAACCAAGGAACCGAAGCAGGAATTAAAAAAAAACATAACTATTTTTTAATTGATTAATTTAATTTGGGTTTCACGCTTGTTCTTGCTGCTGCCCGTCTGTGGCGGGTTCCGCTACATCTCTGAGCTTGCTACCAACCCTCTGGAAGATTGCACACAAACGAGAAGGCTTGAATATCTGCAGCAGTCCCCTCCCCCCCCACCCACCCCCCCCCAAGCCAAAAATTGTGTGTGTTTGCGTGAGTCATGGGTGGGAGAGGATGAAGAGGAAAACAGACAAACAGACAAAAATACCAAAGAAGAAACAAGCGAATAAGCAAACAAATGGCAATGGTGAGACAGTGGGTCTGGTGCTTTCTGTCCTCCTCTAACCGGAAAGAAGGCAAAAGTGAGCAGTGTCGTTTTTTTTTACTTGTGTGTGTGTGTGTGTGTGTGTGTGTGTGTGTGTGTGTGTGTTAGGCAGACCTTCTCTTTTTTTCTTTTTTCCCCCCTGCCGTTGGATGGTGAACCGCCACTCCCCCCGGCGTCAAAAACCCCAGGCCCTGTGAGTTAGGGCCGGGTTCTACATACGGAGGGGCAGCGACCGTACGGGTTCGTCACCGGCGGATCCAATGCCGCAATTTGAAAGCATCGACTTTGGCGATTTTTCGTGCTCAGGAATTCTTCAAAAATTCTGAAAATTTGACGGCCCGTAATTAGGTCGTGATCTTTCGAGGAAAAAAAAAAAAAAAAAAAAAAAAAAAAAAAAAAAAAAAAAAAAAAAAAAAAAAAAATCACCGTGAAATAACCAATGCGCTGATTCAGCATTTTGATGCAATTTCCATTTTTGCCATTCGGCCTGTTTTCCACAGTATGCTACCGGTACCCTTCTTGAAATGGTGCTACCGGTCCCCCGAGGTTTTGACGTCGGGGGGAGTGGCGGGCGGTTTTAGGCGCAAAAACAAATTCAGTAAATTCCAGCCAAAAAAAAAAAAAAAGGTTGTTTAGAATTGCAATACAAACGACTTGTGGCTGAGGGTTAAACCACCAGTGCTTGGCCCAGCTATCGGCCGCGGCGCTTTCCCATTAACGCGCCGCGCCTTTAGGGCTTCGGGGTACCGGACCACAATGGCTGGAAGCGCCAGCCAACTTTTTTTTCAAACGGTACCCCGGCGCTTCGGCGAAAATCGGCGCGCAGGGGCATTCCAGGCTCGGCATCGATAGCTGGGCCAAGTACTGGTGGTTTAACTCAGAATTCCTCACGGAATCGAACATAAAAAAGAAAACAACAGTATCAGGCTATGGCTACCCCCCTTCAGAGCCCTCTAGCTCCTCAAAAACCTTTTTTTATACCCCCCTTCCCCCCCTTCGACAGCCCACACTCGAAAAAAGAAAGAATCCCGCACTCGGGCTCCTCTGGCCATGCGCAGAAAACCTCCACCCGAAAAAAAAGTGTACAAAAAAAATAATAATAAAAAGAATAAAGGACGGATTTTTGCCTGCACGGTGTGCCCCATGAAGGCGACCCAGTCGTGACCAACGCCCAGAGAATATGTCGACAAGGGCGCAGCACTTCGTGTGTCCTCTTACGCACGGCGCACCAGGCAGGTACACGGCCGGCCGAGCCCATGTAGCGTACTAGGCTTTACTGCCTTATTTGAAGTTATTTCTGAGCAGCAGTGCTCTCCTTGTTTGCTTCAATCAAATCTGACAAGGGAGGGATTCTAAGAAGATATTTTTAGAAGAGCTGATTTGATTGAAGCAAACAAGGAGAGTGCTCTCCTTATTTGAAGTTATTTCTGAGCAAACAAGGAGAGCACTGCTTCCTTTTGTCCAGAAAAAATATCTTCTTAGAATCCCTCCCTTGTCAGATTTGATTGAAGCAAACAAGGAGAGCACTGCTGCTCAGAAATAACTTCAAATAAGGCAGTAAAGCCTAGTACGCTACATGGGCTCGGCCGGCCGTGTGTCCTCTTTGAGGCCTTTTAACATTGGCTAGGACAAAAGGACTTTTTTCTGGAAGAAATATTTTTGAATGCTGAAACAGTAAGGGCCCAGAAGGGGACCCCTGTTGGTAGGACCGTAAGGTACCTCGGTCGGTCGATAAGTTTTCTGGGACTGTAGAGTTTCCGATAAGGACCCCCCTGAAATTATCCCCAACTGCAATTTTCAGTTGTTGACGGTGTTAACCAGGGCTGAAAAGTGGGGGTCCCTGTTAACCACTTGTGGAGTACTCAAGTGGGATCACTGAGCTGGATTAGTCATCTGTGGCCAGGTGTATGAAGACCCCCTGTGGAAGGCCGGCTTCACAACCGGCCGAAACGCGGCCGCATCGGGTCACGCCGCTTCGTGTGTCTAGTTTTGTTATTCAAGTTGTCTTCTCTCGCTTCGTGTGTCTAGTTTTGTTATTCAAGTTGTCTTCTCTGCACGCGAGGGTTTTCGCCGCTGCGCGGCTATGTCGGGGATGGTTATCGACTGATTTACCGCGCAACCTGCGCTCGGATTTTATCGTCCGTATGTCTTGTCGATTCTCCCACAGACCTTGTCGTCGTCATCAAGGTGTGTGTGCTTTCACTCACGTTGTGGTACACAACACGGTACTAACACCTGACAGTGTGTGTATGCACTCTCAATGATGTTTCAGACATTTTCGGGTCCCTTTTCCCACATTTTTCGAGGTCCAGAAAATCCACCATACGTAATGAACCTTTCACACGGGCTCGGGCATACACGCCGATCTCACTGCTGCTAGCTACCATCTTCACAAGACTAGAACGCCCCGTCATTATCGCTGTATCTGGACTGGAAGTTGCCCCAAATACAGCTATAATGACCGGGTGTTCTATTCGGGTGAAGACGGTAGTTTACTAGGGGACTTCTGTGCAGTCGTCGGGGCTTGGGGGGTCCCCATCAACCAATGCTAGAAGGGCAACATTTTTTTGGGATGTGTGATGTGAACGAAGCATACTTGCAAGCGGACGCCATCCGSGCGGTTCCGCACGTGCGGCAGACCGCCGGACCGGACCCGCGCGGCGCACGAATGTGCGCCCGACGACCAGTTACGCCCCCCCCCCCAAAAGAAAAAAGGCCCTGTCCGGTCCGGTCCGGGGGGAGGTTGCCACACGCGGCAAAGCGGACCGGACGGACCGGACGGTCGTCCGGTCCGTCTGCTTGCAAGTATGGAACGAAGGCTTTGAGGCCTTCTGTGCAGTCGTCGGGGCTTGGGTGGTCCCCACCAACCAATGCTGGGTAATGGTCCCAGGCTTTGTTTCTTTGTCGGATCCGGGTTGTTAGTGAAATTCCTTGTTCCCCCCCCAAAAAAAAAGAAGAAGAAGAAGAAGAAGAAAACTGTAGCAGTCCTTCGGGACATCCGTTAAAATTGGAACGATACAGAAAAGATTAGCATGGCCCCTGCGTAAGGATGCCACGCATAAATCGAGAAATGGTTAAAAAAAAAAAAAAAAAAAAAAAAAACTGTAGCAGATGGGGACAAGCGGGCGGAAAACCAACGGAATAAAAAAAAAAACATTATTAGCGATACCAAAAAAAAAAAAAAAAAAAAAAAAAAAAAAGAAGTAAAGACAAATGGGCCTAGCTCAGTTGGTACACCCATGTGCTGTTTGCAATCGAGACCTGACCAGAGTTCGAGTCCAGGTTAAACAAGGGGCCTCCCTCCACTACTCTCGAAATGTGCAAAATGAGAGTGAATCTTCCGCTAGAACATGGAAAGATACATCGCCATGATTTTTGTCTTTTGTGAATGTCGACAGTAATGGAGCGAGGCCCAAGATGAACGCCATCAAATGAATTACGTGTGGCCAAAAGGAATTTCAACAAGAAAAACAGACGAAATGCTAACTTTCGATCCTCTTGTGGGCTGACGTCAGCGAAAAAGACTGTCAGGGGAAGTCAAAGCAGAAATTAGAGTTTTTTTTTTTTTTTTTTTTTTTTTTTTTTTTTTTTTTTTTTTTTTTTTTTTTTTTTTTTTTTGGGGGCAGTAAAACGCATACAAAATCCCGGACCCTATCACAGTTCGGACTCCAGAGAAACATGGACGATCATAACCTCTTTCTTCTTCAGGAACCCCTTTTTTGGGGGGAGAAATATACGTCTTTTTTTTTTTTTTAATAGAAATGTACATCTAGATACATACGCACACATTGTCATTGATATAGTTATTATTTAATATTTATAATATATATATCGTCATATATATATATATATTTTCGATCCGTCGACGCGTACCTTTGCTTGGAACATGTAGTTGGGAGGGACGTTCACGATCACATAGTTTTCCTTGTCCTCATGATACTTCTCAAACTCCTGCTCAGAAAAGTCCACACAAGAGGAAAATAGCAAAATACCAAAGACTTCAGAAAATAAAGTGGGGCAAAGGGGGGGGGGGGGGGGGGGGGGGGGGGGAGGTGTCAAAATGGGGGGGGAGGGACATAAGAAAAAAGGGTAAGGCAGCCTTTTTTTTTTTAACGAGGGTAGGCCAAGCAATATGCTGGCAAGGAGCATTTTTTTTTTGTTTCGAATTTTCTGTGGGACCTTTTTAATTTTTCTTTTTTCACCTGCAACAAAAGCACCGATTTTATTACTGTTTTGAAGTGGCTGTTTGGCACACAGAGAATGATAAAAATTTTCAAGGTAAGTGCCTCATTGCTCCACTGCACAACATTCTGAATGTATCTGGCATTCGTAAAAGTCCCAATACATTCAACATGTTCAAAATCAGTCTGAATGTATCTGGTCCAGAATTCAGTCCAGATACGTGTTCAGTGTTGAGTAGTGGACCAAGATACCTTAAACCACCACTCTGTCCGACAGGAGGAAATAGCCCCTCCTGTGAGTCCGGGCGAATATTTAGGGAGGGCGGCGGGCGGCGACCGGTGGGCGAAACAGCAGGGCCAGTTCCATGGGAAAGTCGGAACCTGTGACATCTTCGGGCCTCAGGTAGTTTTCCCTGCTTTCGAAGGCGGGAACAGTGGCGATCGCCACTTTCCAGAACACATTCGAATTGTTTCTTGTTTCTTTTAAAAATATAATTTTTTTTTGTGAATGACTTGTCAGTTTTCGTTTTTTCATGGGCCTCATTTATTCCCACCGCACGTTTCCGCGTCCACATCCATAGAAGAGCCCGGTGTCGTGTTGTTACTCTCCCTCTGCGCCTGATGACCCTTACCTGGTTGTGTGGGTGCCCCCTTGGAGTTTACTCTGCGAGCTTTACCTGCCGCCTTCCCACCCATTACTACCTTTGGCATGCGGCTGAGTTCCCTTCTCTTTTGTTCAGGTATTGTGCATTGTGTACAGGGCACGTGAGACTGTGCCACATTCTTTTTCGACTTGGGACATTGGTTTAGTTATTCTTTGCCTTTAGGGCCCTGGTGTTGATTTATATTCAGCCTCTTTGGCTCAGGAGACATTTTTCTCTTTCTTGGGCGACACAGGTCAAACGTTTTTCTGCCTTTTGGGTCGACTCAGACCGGACATTGTTGCATAGATTAGGCTTGAGGCTTAGTCTGTATTGCATCTCTATTCCTGCATGGAGCTTGCTCCGCATCTAGGATTGTTTCCTTCGCCGTTCCTTTTGGGTTTCCGCTATTTCAGTGGATAGCGTGTTTGATGTATCACTTGATCCATTCACAGGTCTGAGGATCGTGTAGCGGTACCCCTACCGCCCGGCAGTGAGACCGGACCAGTTTCAGGCCGTCGGCCTGACCCTGGTCCGGTACCAGGTTGTTCCCATACCTAGACCTAGGCCGGTATATCACTTCGGCCTAGGCCCAGGCCCGGCAGTCAGTTGGTTCATTCATTCTTTGGTTCGTTCATTCATGAGTCGGACTGGACCTTCACTCAGCTGCTGCTTCTCGTGTGTGTCCATCTCCTCTCTCTCT